TGCCAGGGAATCGGCCCAACCTCTCTGGACAAAGCCCCCACCATGGCCACCCAGTCCCCTGCCCTCCGTCCCCACCTCCCCACCGTCCTGCCTCGGCAGCAGGCACCGGGAGCAGCTCAGGCACCCTCAGCCAGCAAACACTGCCTGGAGGGGAGGAAAGGAAAGCAGGACAGGGGCAGGGGAAGGGGCTACGGCCTTGGAGGGGGCATGAAGGGGTCAGCCGGACCCTTGAGCAGGAACCCTGGGCTGGGGGAGAGGGCAGCGCTCTGGCAGGCTGCCTCCTTCTAGCTCTGCACCGTTCCCCAGCTGGGAAAGGCAAAGGGGGCTGAGGCAGATCCCCCCGCCCTGCCTGGTCCCCCAGCAAGGAGTTAAAAGCCGTGTCTTTCCGGGGATAACGATTCTATTATAAATAGCCCCATTAGCTACAACTAATGACAAAAATCCACCTCCTCTACTCCCCATAAGTTCTGTAAGTTATGGGCAATGCTACAGCCATTACTAAAAGCTGTTAACTTCATATCTGAATGAGGAAATATACACCACAGAACATTAAACCATTTATATTATATATATGTATATATATACTTTTTTTAAACTAATGACTTTAATGCCAAAACTTTGCTGAACCAAGAAAAATATGGGTTTAATGTTCTCTGCTCATTTTTTTTTTCTTCTTTAAAAAAAATACAACCCAAAAAAAAGAAAGGGAAACTTATTAGTATGTAATGTTTGAGTCTATCCCATTTATACACAACATTGTAAACATATATAATCTATATTACATGTGCTTCATTTCTGCCTGGGTGTGTTTTTTTTTTTTTTCTTTAAACCTTTTTTTATCACTAGAACACCACAAAAAACCAAAACAGAACCAAACCAAAAACCAAACCAAAACAAATAAAAACAAAACAAAAAAACTGAACAAAGAACACAAGTTACAGGTTATTTAACATATTTCTGTCAAGGGTCCCTTCCCCAGTCTCCTGGGGGCAGAGTGGTCAACAACACAGTCCAAGGAGGGCTCACGAGCCATCCGCGATGCAAAGCCAGCTCCAGGGAATGGGTGGATGGGGAATACTGGTTTTAAAAAAGGGGGCTTCACAACAAAGGGTTTGGTTTTGCCCGCTGCAGATGCTGAAGGAGGTCTCAACATGCGGGACCTGGGAGCCAAGGCTCCCTGCTGCTCCTGTATCCTCAAGTCCATGTCTGGAGTCTCTGGTTTGGTTTTTTTCTTTAAATTTTAAAACGTCTTTTTTTTGTTGCTGTCGTTCTTCTCCCCCTTGGTGTGATGGATGAGCTGAGCCGAGTAGCTGGGTCCCGCCCTCCTGCTGGGTCCTTCATAAGTAGATGCGCCGAAGGTCTCCGGGAGACGTGATGGTGTTACACTGGGGACAGAGCTTCTTGGCACCCTGCAACCGGCAGACAAGACAAACAGTGTGAGAGGGAGGAGGAGGACAACCTGCACAACCCTGCCCTTGGCCTGGGATCTCGGGGGGAGCAGCACAGGAGCAGGGGCAGCAAGGCCACCCCCCTTCCCCTCCAGGCAGGGTCATGCCCTCCCAACAGCGGGCACAACCTGTGAGAAGGGGGAGCCCCAACACGTTTCTCGCCTGCCCAGCAAGCCCCTCATCCCACTCCAGTCCCTGGCACAAGCCAGCTGGGCAGGCAGGAGCTCTGCAAGAGGCTGAAACCCAGAGCCAAGGGGAGTCACCAAACTCAGCAGCTCTGTGGAGGGGAGTCTCTGCAGACGGATCAGCCCAAGCCCCTTGTCCTGCTGTGCTGTCACCGCTGGCTGCCAGGCAGATCCACTCCTTTCCACTTCCCTTGCTCACCTACAGCCCTCGATGAGACAGAGCAGGCAGAAAACCAACCCTGCTAGAACGAGTGCAGTTTTCAGCTGGGATGGTTGAACTGGTTCATGGTGGTGCTGAACCATCCCTTTCAGGGAAGCATGCTGGGGGACTGCCTCACCATCCTGCAAAAGCCCCAGAGCTGCTGACATGAAGGAACCCCTCATCCTGTGTCCCCTCAGCTTGCAGAGATGCTGTGCAGACGAGTCTGTTCTGCCAAGGTGAGCTGAAACCGGCAAACTGATGTGAGCTGGGGTGAGGTAATGGGCGGCCGACGTGAACACTACATGAAATAAAACAAGGGCTGATGTGCCATCTGTCACCGAGCCTGACAGCAAGAGGGTGTTAATAAGCCTCAGAATCGGGGTCAACCTAAGCTGGTCATCATTAGATTGGCAGATGTAACAGACAGTTGACGGGAAAAATGACAGAAAGATGGCTCTGCTGTGATGCAGCCTCCCATCTACAGCACCAGCAGTGCAGGAAATGGGGATGCCCTGGCTTTCAGCACTGACCGCAGCCTCAACACGACCTCCCACTGCACAGAACTGAGCACTGGCTCTGTCTGAGCACCCCGAGTTTTGCTCACCACTGTTAGACAGGCCCTTCCAGCAGCTCATGTCCGGTGCTCGGCATGACAAGCGAGCTGACAGGGATGCAGCGTGCTGTGTGAGAGCCTGCGGCTTGCACAGGACTTGCTGGCAGACCTG